CCCCAAAACCCCAAAACCCCAGCATGAAGCATCGATGTGATAGTGATTGAATATTAATTAGTATTCCAAGTTTATATAATATTGATAAGAAGAAGATTTAAGTATTATCGAGATGCTAAAACTCTTTTACAACGCTGCAAAACAGAGAAGCCTCAGCTAAGCCACCACTAGTGCTTCTCTTATTCGCAACTCATAGAGGAGTAAGATCGATTTGCATAATTTGAAATAGTGTTCAGATCTTCAGCGCAGATGAATTAGTAATTTAATGTCTATATTGATGGAAGACCAGTTAAGGTAGGATCGATTCTTCCATATTTTTTATCTGATTAATTAACCAAATAAAAATATAGGTTGATGCCAGCTATACTATTTTCCAAGCTTGCCAAGAGGCTGGGTACCACATTTTATCACTAATTTCATATATAGAGTCGAGATTCCTAGATTCTGCTATCATGAAAGATTATCAGTTGCCGGCAACTGCAGAATGTGCCTAGTCGAAGTAGAAGGATCTCCAAAACCAGTAAATTACATAGCCTCTAATTACTTTACAGCTTGCCGCATGCGCCACCAATGTAAGACCAGATTTGAAAGTGATAACTAAGTCAGAAAAGACACGCATTGCTAGAGGGTAAGTAGGATACCATCTTTGAAAATCCTCCTATTCAACTATTTATAAATTATTATAATAGGGGTGTGATGGAATTCTTATTAGCAAACCATCCTCTAGATTGCCCAATTTGTGATCAGGGTGGAGAATGTGATCTCTAAGATATCTCTACTGTGTATGGCTACCAAGAGGGTCGTTTCATGGAATACAAGAGAGCTGTTGAGGATAAAAACATTGGACCACTGATTAAAACCTCCATGACAAGATGTATTCATTGTACTCGTTGTGTTAGATTCACAGAATAAATTGCTGGTGAATTCACACTTGGTCAAGTAGGAAGAGGAAAATATAATGAAATTTCTACATATATTGAGAATATGGTTACAAACGAACTATCGGGCAACGTTGTTGATCTCTGCCCAGTTGGTGCTCTCAATAACTTGCCTTACTCCTTCTAAGCTAGACCTTGGGAACTGAAATCTAATTACACTGTTGATGTTATGGATGGACTTGGAAGCAACATTGATGTTCATATCAGAGGTTCAGATACACTTAGAATTTTGCCAAGAATTAACGAAGAAGTCAATGAGGAATGGATATCAGATAAATCAAGACATGCTTTTGATGGACTTAGAAAGCAAAGACTTCATATCCCACTTCTTAGAAAGCCTGATGGTTCATTCGGCGAACTCACATGGGAAGAAGCATTGAATAAAGCTGCTGAAGTTTTAAGCTCAGTTAAAGGAGATGAAATTCATGGAATGATTGGCTAATTTAACGATGTTGAGTCAATGTTGGCATTCAAGGATCTTTTAAACAGATTAAATTGTGATAATGTTGATGTTAGAAAAAATGCTCCACATTTTAAGGCTGACTTTAGAAATCAATATTTATCAAACTCAAGAATCATAGGAATTGATGAGACAGATCTTCTTCTTTTGGTAGGTTGCAATCCTCGCCTTGAGGCTCCAGTACTTAACGCCAGAATTAGAAAGGCAGTTGGAGTAAATGGATTGTAAGTTGGAATTATTGGATCAGCCACAAATCTTGGCTATGATTACGTTCATCTAGGTAACTCTCCAAAAACTCTTCAAGAATTAGCTGAAGGCAAACATCCATATCTTTAACAGAGATTAGCAAAGGCTGAATTGCCAATGATCTTAGTTAGTGCTTAAACACTTGAAAGATCAGATGGTGAAGGAATCATGAACTATATCTATAAATTAGCAGAAAATACAAAACTTATCAATAAAAAGGAAAAATGGAATGGAATTAACATCTTGCACACTGAAGCTAGCAGAGTAGGAGCTCTAGATTTAGGTATTGTTCCTTAAACCAATGTTACTAAAAAACCAAAGGTAGTTTACATTCTAGGCCAAGACAACTTCAGGCATGAAGAAATTCCAGAAGATGCTTTTGTTATTTATTAAGGCCACACTGGTGATGAAGGAGCTTACTATGCTGATCTTATTCTACCAGGAGCTTCTTATCTTGAGAAATCAGCTCTATTTGTAAACACTGATGGCAGACCTTAATAATCAAGAGGAGCTCAACAACCTCCAGGTTTCGCTAGAGAAGATTGGATGATCTTAAGAGCCCTTTCTGAGTAACTAGGATGTCCACTTCCTTATGACTCATTAGACGAGATCAGAACAAGAATGGCAGAACTTGCCCCTCATCTAGTTAGATTTGATGTTATTGAGCCATCTGGTTTTGAAGAGTTAGGATTGAAAGCAGAAGAATCAAAACTTAAGCTTAATAACACTGCATTGACAGACAACATCGATAACTTCTATCAAACAGATTCAATATCTAGAAATAGTATGATTATGGCCAGATGCACAAAGGAGCTTAACCCAAAGAAGCAATTCAACTTTAAGGAACATGTCTAGACCTGGATGACTCACTGAGAGTGAAGATAAATCTTTCATTAAAGAGTGATAATCTAAAACGATTTGCTCATTATTTAAACTTAAAATGTTAACACTTATTTGTTTCACAGTATTTATACATTTAATATTTAAGAATCACAATTTATCATAAAATATTAGTCTCATTGATACTTCATTGACATCAAGCAACACCGCCATTGAATATTCTTTGGGCAACGAAAGATATGCATGTTATTAGAGAGTACATTCCGAAGAAGCCACTCATAGCCCACTATTCTTGAAATCCAAAGTTGATAGCAGTATCAAAGTAAATAATAACTTTAAGTAGTTATAGTAATGAGTCAGTGAAAGCAGCTCCCACATTATATAGAATTCCCTTGGTTGAAGAAACTCCGCATTGATTGACGATTTATGGTACTTTAAGAAGAGTTGTTGCTGCTGATTGCATTAAATAAAATACATTTTTGTCGTAGTCTTAGGACATTTGATTCCAAAATACATAATAGTCAAGTGTCTCTATAGTTACTTCAATCGATGATCTTGCACAGTCATAGGGGAAGAAAAGTTTCAAGAAGGAAATGGAACCAATTGATATTCCAATAAGCATTTCAATGGCTGGATTATTACCGAAATTTGGATAAAAAGGGGCAGTAACTTTAGGGCTTTAAAGTTGTTCTTTTTCCTATTACTTTCCAATACTTGAACTCAGCATTAAGAATACTACAACTAAAAATACAGTTCGATTTAAAGCAAAGTTTTTATCCATTGTCATAATTATATATTCTATTCTAATTATTATTTTGAATTGAATAATGATGCAAGGGGGTTTTGGGGTTTTGGGGAGATCGGAAGAGC